GGGTTTGACATTTTCATTTCGTGGACTGGCAATGACGTCTATGGCAAGTGGGGCTACAAGGCCTTTACCTGGCACCACCAATCGCCGTGGGTGAAAGAGACGGCCGAGATGGCACGCAAAGCCTTCGAATGGCCGATCAAGCAGCTCAAGAAGGTTCAGGAAGATGTCGTCAAGATCGCCGCCCTAAAGGACCGGCCAGGGGTGAATTCTGTGACGATGATCGCAGGCCCTGAGAATGGCTTTATGTACGGCCTGCCGGAAGAGTACGACGAGGAGATGACTCGCCACACGAAAGTGTTGGCCGAAGCAGGTGTGAGGCTGGTGGACCCCAACCCAGTGTTGGGCGCCACTGACAGACCAGACAAGTTTCACACGAACTTCACGGCTGACAATGTGGCTGCGGTTGTCACCTGGTACAAGTCGCTTGTCACCGCTACGGTCTTCGATCGGGCGGTGACGGACTTGCGCTCAGAGTTGGTTGCCAACCGCCGAGAGGTGGTCTTCTTCGAACACTTCCATCTGGCCAAACCGGATTCCAGAATAACGGTCCCGCCACTGAAGGACATGCACGTCTGTGCCGATACTGAGCGCGAGGAACCGCCAGACGTCCGGGGGGACGACGAACAGATCGTGTTGAGTGCTCCGCTGTTGGCCGCACATCAGGATCTTCTGTGTGCTGAGCCAGAGGAGCTGACCGACACTGATCGCGTCCTCTTTGACACAACACCTGGAGCCGAGAATGTTGTCCAGAGAACTGAGGACAACTCGGATCCCTCTGTGATGATCACCAAGCTCCAGATCGGCAGTCACGGTGAAGAGACTGCGACTGATGAAGAGATTGCCTTGGCGAATGCCCTCGGCGTCTACGGTCTCGATCTGGAGATTGGTCGCACCTCTAACGAGGATGCTGAGTCTAACAAAATCTTCAAAGGTCTTGAGGAGCTCACTGAAGAAGAACTCAGCAAGCGGCCCCGATTCTACGCGAGGGGATCCGTCGGGATTCAGAATTTGATAAGGGAAATGCAGTTGGAGGAGGCCAAGAAACCACCTGTTCCTCCGAAGTCGCGGCCCGCTGACGCGGAGCCTAAGGCAACTGGTATCTTACCTTTGGCCACGAAGGCTCATGCTGTGCCTCCTGCCGTGCCGCAGGCTGCATCCTCATCGTCGGCGTCTGGCACACTCCCGCCCAAGGAAGTTCCTGGGAAGTCTGCATCGTCTGGCGCAAAGCCTACTGAACCGTTGCAGCCACCGCCTCCTAAGAAGATGCCTATCACCGCTGTGAAATCGGCACCTACGCCGAAAGCGGAGCACGCTGCCAGTGCCAAGGCAGAAGCGTCACCTCCCGGAAGGGATGGTCAATTTTGGTTGTCAGGCCTGGACCTGCCGCCCTTCGCGTCTGACCATCGCACCCTCAGTGAGGGCAAGCGCTTCGCACTTGGCAAGAAGTGTGCATTCATCCTCAGAGGCTTCACCAACAAGCCCGTGTACGGCAATAGAACGCCGACAGTGACGATTCGTCGGAATGACCTCTCGATCGACTGGGAAGAGTTCATCGATGCCCTTAGCCAGATCTGGAATGGACTCAAGGTCTCCCAGATCTTCGAAGTCTTTAAGACCCCAGTCGACGGGAAAGCCCGCTACGAGATTTACATTCAGAAGCACAACAATCAGGAATTTGACGTGCTTCGAGCTCGGGCTATCCATGGGCATTGGTCAGGGCTCTTCGGTGACGATACCGAACTCGCTGACATCCACTCCGTGGTGCATTCCTTTGTGCCATGGGACGCCAGTCTAGCGACTCGGCCTAAAATTCATCCGTTCGACATGTTCTCCCAGGAGTTTGTCGATTTCCCTTGCAAACTGGGCTACCACGGCACCTTCATGAGGCACTTCCCAGATATCATCAGATACGGATTGTTGCCTGGTGGTGCCGCGCTCCACGAGAGTGGTAGCAGAGCTTTTGTCATGATGTCAAAGCAACCAGAATGGAAAAGGGATGATAATGCGGGCCTTCGCGAGGCGGCGGACGTCGAGTTCGCCATCGATCTCCAAATGGCCGTCTTGGACGGCGTCCGGCTCTTCGAGACTCGCTCCGGGGCACTGGAGACACCAGATTGGATCAGCAATCGATATCTGGTTTACGCTTATCAGCGGGGCACAGCAGAGCCTGTGTGGGTCAATCCGGCCTACCAGGCGTTCCGTCGGAACATTGACTCCGCTCTAGCGAGCTGGAACAAGGATGGAAGTCATAAATACATCTTTGGTCCGGATCAATTTGCCTTGGAGCAGCACAACTGCTTTCTCGACTTGCTGGAAAGCGCCGAGAATCTCACCATCGCTGAGTGGGCGCCGGTCGCAATCGATTGCAAGACCCCATTTCGCATTTCGGCGGACATCTTGAGCGAGGTCATCGAGCGAAGGAAGAACGAGGACCAGCTCATCGAAACATATGACGGCTCGCTCGGGATCGGTATCCACGTCTGGCCATCCATGGAAGGCAAGCGGATCCGACTTCGCCAGAGGATCGAACCAAGGCACTGGATTAAACAGGAATTGATCCTCTACCCCGGGTACCATTGCAGCTCGTGCAATCACAAGTACATCGACGGAATGATCTCCTGTCCAGGTTGCCAACGTCGTCTCATCGAGATGACCGACATTGCGATTATCGCCGAGCCCGACAGACTCCGGCGAAGCGCCGCCCGAGAGGGCAGGCAGGTCAACATCATTGACTTGCAGCCATCCTCGGGACTCACACGCCAGCGCGTGAAGACTCAAGGGCCAGAAGAAAGGGAACGCATTCAAAGCACAGCGTCTGGCATCCGCCAGAAGGTCCTCAATCAGCAGAAGAGAGCGGAGAAGCTCCACAATACCACTCCGCAGGGGCAATACAGTGTGGACCCAATCACCGCTCACAACTACGCCAAAATGGGTCTCAGCTTTCACACTGTCGAGGCGCTGCAACGCTTCGCTAACGTGAGGCTTCCCGATCCTCAGGGCAAGGGAAAAGGGCATGGTTCGTCCACCTACTATGATGCCACCGGGAAGGTTGCCCTCCTCTGGGTGACAGGCCAGCTTGAAATCGACCTCCTCACGGAGTGTCTGATTTGTTTTCATGATCGGTTTTACACCATCAATGAGATTGCAGTTCTCATCAAGGCTGTGAAATCGAACCAGCATGAGTTTTCCATCCTGCAGTACGATGGGGAGAAATACATCGTCGTGCAGAATGAAATTTTGCCGATCATGGCCGAGCTGGCTACTTTCTTCCAGGCACAATTGCCACTGAGCCGGACAAGGATCGAGAAGACAAATCCTTCTCTGCGCACCCAGAGAAATCTGCAGGTACCCGCTGAGGCACAGGGACTTGGCAAACGTCAGCTCAACGAGCTGCTGGCCAATACCCCTTACTATCGTCGGTACCAGCAATATTATATGGACAAGCGCATCGGGGAGAGCGGCCACGTGAGGTTGACCACTTCGGCACCCGCGTCCGAACGTCGCCCACCTGAGCCTCCGGCATCTCCTGCACGACGAGGTCGCAGCTCTGACGAGCGTGCATCGGGTCCAGCAGACCGCAATCGCACAAGGTCCCCGATTGCCAGACATCGTCCGACCGAGGTCCATATCCGGACCAACCCTGGAGACGCAGCGGGCTCATCTACCGATCGCACCCCTCGGGAGCCTGCGATGCCGCCGCCCAGGCGTGTGGCACGTGATCCGTCCGACTACATCAGTGACGCAGATTGGGATGCAATGCGGGCTGGTACAGGCTTCAGCAATCCAGCACCGGAAACGGTTGCTCCCGATGCCACAATGGATGGGACAGTGAGCGAGGCACCGTCCTCTGCTGTTGATCTCGGCACAAGGCGCGAATGGTCCGAGACCTATCGCCGGCGACCCCATGACCCACCGACCTTCGGCGTGTTCTTCGAGACGAGAAATGTCTCCGACCGAGAGGTCCGGATGCGTGAGACTGTTATCAACTTCTTTGAGCAGCTCAGGGTCGCAGGATTGTTGTACCCGCACTTCTGCCTTCGTGTTGGGGAACGATCTTTCCGGCAACATCATCGATCCTGCGCTTGCCAGGCGAATGGACTGGCACCGCGTTGACATGTACCAATGGGCGGTATTCGCTGCGATGACCGAAGATTACATCCAGCCTACTTCAGTGGTGAATGCCATTCCTACTCATGGTAATCCACATGGCTTCACGATTCTGGACACCTCTCATGCCCAATGGTTCTTGTCAGGTTGGGTCCATGAGGTCTACAACTACAGGACTAACCGCCGTGACCGCATCTACTGAGGTCATTTGATCGACGGCCCATTACGCCGAGCTTGATCACCTCCCTAACGGGATGGTATTCTGAGACATTTAGATGCCGTCTGGTTAGTAGTGAAGTGAGATTTAAGCGTCGGCACCGCCCTAACGGGTTGGTAGCTACCCTGCTCGTACGAACAGCAAAGGGCGCAAAACATTGGCCGCATAATTTGCTTTTGTTGCAAGTTGTTTTCGCTGTCACAAAGTGATATGCTTACGACGGTCTAGTGACTAGTCTTTCCTTCCATCGCCTTCGCCTCAACCGTTGCACTAAGATGCGCGGGGGGTGTATTTTGTGGAAGATGTAGCTAGTCAACTGCACCTACCGTCATTCATTGGCTCAAGAAAATATGCGTCTGCATTCTGGCTGTTCTGCCTGTAAACATAAAATCCGAAGCCCTAAACCCTAAACCCTAAACCTAGATCCTAAGCCCAAACCCTAAGCCCTAAACCCTAAACCCTAAACCTAGATCCTAAGCCCAAACCCTAAGCCCTAAACCCTAAACCCTAAACCTAGATCCTAAGCCCAAATCCTAGGCCCTAAACCCTATAGGGAACTCCAGAAAGTTGGAATATGGATTAACGGTAGGATCCCCTATAATTCTCCTTAAAGGGGTTACGATAATGATATTCCAATTTTCTGGCTTCTACTGTAAAGCTAAACCCTAAAGCCCAGGATACTGGTGGACCTACGGCCGCTTGGAGCTTTTGAAGACGTGGACTTTACTTAGAGGATCAGGGGACTTAGTAAGTAAGGTTCCTTACAGGGCTCCTTAAAGGGATCTATCGGCTTCCTTAGAGGGATCTATAGGGTTTAGGGTTTAGGGCCTACTTAGAGGATCATGGGACTTAGTAAGTAGGGTATAATTGGGGTTATTAGTCCCCTAAGTGGGGTTATCCTAATTGTAAGCTACTTATAACCTTACTTACTACGTCCCATGAGCCTTCAAGTAGGCAGACTAACATCCCGGGAAGCCCCGAAAGGGCCCAAACGCGAAAGCCCTTGTGTTTAGGGCTTCTGGTTTCGGGTTATGGCTTTATGGATGCCTTGTGTAGAACGTTTTATGGTACCCCTTGTGGATGAGGTTATGAGTTCTTTGATTGGGTTCCTCTTATTTGTCGATCTTTCTGGGACTAGCATTGAGACTTAGAGTTTAGGTGTTGAGGGGTTTAGGATGGTTGAGGGTGGAGGGTTCAGGGGGTTCATGGGTTACCCAATGGGTCCTCCAAGTATCATTGTGGTATATACTTAGACCCCCAAACCACACTATAGCTATATACCATGATTAATGATACTTGGACCCTTTGGTTTTCGTTATTGGGCCACTGTCGGTCAATATCGGTTTGTGCTCTTGGCATCCAGCCTACACGGCTCCCGAAACCCCAAGCCCCCCGGTGCAGCGATCAGGGTTTAGTTTGGCGGACCAGGGAGGCCGGGGCACTAACGTCGGGGCTTCTTAGTACCGTAATTTTGTTCCTTAGGGTTTCCGAGAGCCCACTTATTCAGATTCAGGCTACCATAATTGAGCCACCTAAAACCCCCTGACAAAAGCACGAATTAGACCCATAGAAGCTTTCCCACGAACGGCGGAAAACCACGTCGAAGCTCAGAAGTTCCTAATGCTAGGAAAAGAGCTACAGAGCACTGTTAAAAGTCTGAGCTTAACGAAGGACTGCTTCAGGGTTTGAGTCTTAGGGTCTAGGGTTCAAGGTTTAAGGCTTAGAGGGTGTAGGGAATGTTCGGGAGAATCGCGCACTCTTCAATTCGATCAGTATGGGGTCGTGTGAGCTCAGGAATCCCCCATTTCCCCGACAAGAACATGAAAACACGAGGGCGATCATCACAGAACCCAAGCCCTATTTCCGAGTGTCTGTGTGGTCACCGAGGGCGGGACAGGGACGATGACGGAGCCCTGCGCGAAGCTGTTTTCTTGGAGGTGCTCGTCCATGTTCTGTGCTACTGCCCTTCGGGTTTGGGATCAAGGATACCTGGTTGGAGCATCTGAGGTTCACGTAACTCTGCAAGCAGTTATTGGTCAGGGTGCGCAAACTGAGCATAGGCATAGTCCTACCTGCGGCTGAAGCCAAGTGACGATCTCATTGCTAAGTCCTTGTGCGAAGGACCTGGAGAGTATAAGCACGTGTTGCTTGTGCAGGCTGCCGAGGGTCCCGAAAACGGAATCCATCAGTCACAGATATTGGATTCCGTAAAGTCTTTTGAAAACCCTAAACCCCTAAACCCGAGACCCTAAACCCCTAAACCCTAAACCCCTAAACCGCATAATATGGCATCCTTAACACAAGCCCGACCAGGTGCCCTTGAGAAGAGATGTGGAGGCTCGCCAGATCCGCGCCCACCTTAGCATGAGGCCGAACAGGGACCAAGGGCCTCAGGAAAGCCTAAACCCTAAACGCTTGGGGTTTCAGAAGGCTTTCTTGGGCTGTATAAGGTTCCTACTTCAGGTGCCAACAGACTCCAGGAGTATAAGGATCTTGCGGCAAACGTTTTTTCTGTTGGAATTCCACTATTGGGGTGATTTTTCTACCAAGCTGAACCGAGATCCTTATGAACCCTATAAACCCTAAACCCCTAAATCCAAAACCTCTGAACCCTAAACCCTACCCAAAACCCTAAACCCCAAACCCCTGAACCTAAGCCCTAAAGCCCCTAAACCCTAAACCCCTAAACCCCAATGCGGTCTTCCGAGGCTTCAGCGAATGCAGGGGTTCTTGGGGGGTACTTACAAATAATTTGTTTTTGGTAATTATGAAACAGATAAAACTGTAATTTTTGCTAGGGTTCTAAGTTCAGTATAGGGTTTAGGGTTTAGGGGTTCGAGGGCTTCAGGAGCCCAAAGGGTCCTAGGTACTTTTCTGCGGGGCATAATACTATATGGGTGGTTGTCAAAATTATGGTCCCTTTTTGGGTACCCTAGATATTAGGTGCCATATTATAATAGGGACCCAGAAAGGGACCCTAATCGTGACAACCACGATAATACCAATACCTGATCTGAAAACCCCTACTTTGACATTCTAGTATAAAAATATAGGTACTTAGGACCCTTTGGCGGGCTAGAGTCGGGTCCAACAGAGTCGATGGTTCAACAGATCTTAGTACAGGCGCCTTGGCAAGTTGATCAGGGCGTCGGGGTGTGTATCTGGGGCACCCGAAGCATACAAAACCGCTGAAGATAGTGGGTTGCCAAAGCGCAGGCCCCACAGCCTCCTCTTCCTTATATTCTCGGGTCTACTTGGAGACACTTTTTGCAATCATTCCGACGTATACCCTAAACCCTAAACCTAAACCGATCTGTTGTCCCCGGCCTCTTCAAGGACAGTGAGCCGAAGGGTCGCAGCAGAAAGGGTACCACTCAGGAACCTAGGAGGAAGACCCGGATCCCCCATAGATTCCTTATAGAACCTTTTAGGTAAAGCCCCATAGATTCCTTAATAGATTTCGAAAAGAACCCTTCACGTAAAGGGCTGCTCCAATTTTTTGCAGGAAGCTCTCAGGCTCCGAAGGACTCAGTTGTCTAGGACCCAGAGTAGGCCCTTATTCCCTTTTTTAGGGTTTAGGTTCCCTTATAAGCCCCCTTTAACCCAAAAAGGGCACCCTTTTTATTCCTAGGCTACTCTAGTTGTGGAACGCTTTGGGTAAAAGGCTGCTCCAATTTTTGGAGGAAGCTCTCAGGCTCGGAAGGACTCAGTTGGTGAACTAGGAAGCCTAGGTGTCAACTTAAGGTATTCGGGCAGTGCTGCTTAGACGGAGGTAAGGGCTCAAAGGTGTTCAGTTAGGGCGTTCGTACTACGGAGGGAGTGCACTACCCCAACACCCTGTTCTGAATGTGAAGGCTCCTAATATGTACGGGTCTTAATAATTACCAAGTCTAGCGTGGGGTTCCTTATTGTATCTATATAACGGGCCCCAAAACCCTATTCTAATCTGCCAATATTATGCTAGTAGGATTAGGGACTGACGGGGTAAGGGGCTCAGGATTGGGTTCAGGAGGACCCTTGGAAAGCTCGCGGGCTTCAAGCCCCCCGGGCTCTTGTTCCCCAGCTGCTACAGGCTTATAGGGTTTAGGAGGTTAGGGTTTAGGACTTAGGGTTTAGGGCCTGCCTGTAGGGTTTAAGGTTTAGGGTTTAGGGGTTTCGGGTTCAAGGTTTAGGGTTCAAAGTTCGGGTTTAGCGGATCGACATCTTTCAGGCAGCTGAAGCTGGTGGTGCATGGGGACACGATCCTGGAGGAGGCTGGTCAATGGATGGGGGGTGTCGGGATTTCGGGTTCAGGAGTTTAGGACCATCAGCAGACAGCACAGCCACCCCAAAAAGATCCCCCGGCCAAAAAAGACCCATTAATTGCACCGCCCAAATTGTTGGTGCCGGCGTGAATTAGCCGAAAAAAACATTGAATAGGCCCATATCCCAATTCAGGCCGCCACATTACCTTAACGCACCAAAACCCTCTTTTTCATAGGGTCCTTTACAAAATCTATTTTAGGAGCTATGATATGCACCTAGGTAGATCAAGTAGGGTGTGCGGGGAGCAGCCCTTTGACCTTGAGGAGGCCTCCTTCTGCAAGCCTTGAAAACGGGGGCTGCATGTTTCGTTCAGGTCAGATGACAGTCTGTTGAAAGGCAGCCAGTTCTATGGGCTTCCTTCTTAGTTTCAAGCACGGCAACCGGGTAGAGATGTATAAACTCGTCCTCCGTGCTTTCTCGCGTCGGCGGTCTGTTGACAAGGGCCTGGGCGGTTTTGCTTTGGCCCCTTCGAGAGCGACGGCTTGGCGAGAACATGTCTTCAGAGCCACAAAAGTGTGGGGTCTCATGCTCCTTTTTGGAATCGTTAAGCCCTAAACCCCTAAACCCTAAACTCTAACCCCTAAACTTCTAAACCCCTAAACCCTAAACTCTAACCCCTAAACCTAAAATTCTAAACCCTAAACCCTCATGGAAGAAGCGACGACAGCTGTAGCCTGAAGACCCCCAACAAGGTCTCGGAGGCCCTGCAAAGCCCGCAACCGGAAAACCCAAAAGCCTAAACCCGAAATCCCAAAAGGAGCTCAAAAGATCCGAAATCCTAAACCGTGAAGACTGCTTCGTCGCTTGGCGGAGTGGAGAAACGTCAGTGCACTTTTAAAAAAACCGTGAAGACTGCCAGGATTTTGAAGATTGTAAGTGGTTGAATGTCAGCGAGTCCTACTGGGAGATCGCACCTTGGCACGCTGGGCAGATAAGTTTTAGGGTTTAGGCTTTACCCTAAACTCCCACAACCTACCTTTCGGGTAGGTTCTTGTTATTTATGAAGAAGGGGCCCTGATGATCAGTTATCCTTACATGCTGAGAGAGCATATCTCAGATTGCTTGACTCTTTTTCTGTTGTTTGTTGTTGGGTCGTTCGGGTTCTGCTTTCTGTCTGTTCAAGAGCGTCTGCAAAGCACAGTCCAGTTTGGCGCCGAATAGAGTTTACAGTTTAGTCCGGGCCCCACAGCCCTTAATCCGAACTCCGAAATCCCAAGCGCCTCGCCCTCAACTCTTGAATCGAAAGCTTGAAACCGTTAAACCCTAAAACCCAAGCACTGCAGCTCCTGAATGGGTTCTTCTCTACAATGAGGGTCCTTGTTAAAAGGGTGCCGTACACTTTCTGGGACCTGAAAGGACCATCAAACCATAGCGCGGAAAAGCCAAGCGCATGTTGGTGAGCCATTGCGCCTCAAGCCCGAACCAGGGTTTTCGTTTGGGGTTTGGGTTTTCCGGTTGAGTTTGGGGCAGCAGGGTTTCGTGGTTTTAGGTGGGCTTAATTAGGCTCCCTGGTCAGGGCCCCTGTTCTCCTCGGGTCATGAGTCACAAAAGCCGGATCCCTTCCAGGATGTGCCCAGCAGAATCGGTCGAAAAGTCTTCTACATTATTCTATCATGGTTCGCGTCTATTTCTGGAAATCCTGTATGAGGACGTCTGATGATGGCCAGAATCGCGCAGTGTGGTTTGTTTTCCTTATGGACTGATGTAGGGTCTTGTCCATTAGCAGTCCTGCTTTAGGGTTCGCGGCTCAGGGGAAGCAGCCATAGGTTTGGATCCAAGGCTGCGGCTTTGGGCTGATGACTTTCCGGTTCATGGAGTTCCGAATGTAGTGTTTAGTGTCTATAGGGCTCAAGAGCAGTATTAATTTAGCAGCAATGGAGGTAGCAGCAATTTATTCGTGACGCTGGAGCTTTTCAATAGCCCCTTTGCAACTCTAGACAGTAATTCATCCTCCACTCAGGAGGTGAAGGAAGTGAAGAAAGTCCGACGAAAGGTTTTGAGGCCCGTCGCTCCGACTTCGCACTCATGACCCTAAACTCGGAACCGAAGCCTTCGGTCAATTGGGATTCAGGCTTATGGGCTTAGGGTTTAGGGTTTGGGGTTTAGGGTTTGGGGGTTTAGGGTTTAGGACTTATGGGTGAAGTTCAGAAAACCTTCCAGCAACAGATCATGCATCGGATATCAATGCCCCAATGCCCTAAACTTGATACTGCAAGCATCAAAGCTCTCGACCCTCCTTAGCCCTGAAACCTTATATAGGTAGGATTGTGGGACATTTTGTACTGTCCTTATTTGGGTTTATAAGGGACCCTATATATAAATACTTTTCAGGGTGTTAAAAGGCCAACCCAGTTATCTAATGCAAATCCTAAAACTTAAACCCTGCAGCAAAGGGAAAAAGGAGCAGGCCACACCAAAACTCGTGGAAGGCACTTGTAGTTGCTCCGGGGCTCAGGGCTCCTGTTGAAGCATCGGTGCCTTAACGAGCTTGGGGTTTGGGAGTTAAGTTCCAGTCGGGGGCGCTTAGTTTAAGATAGGCCGTGATCTCCTAAGCATACAAAACCGGTCTCGGATTATGAATTTTCCCTGTCCGGTCATTCGGTTTAGGAGTCTGGTGTTCTGGCATCAGAGGTTCAGGGAAGTCTCGAGTGGAGCCGCATCTATGTCGCATGATCACTATTCAGCACATCCCGAAGTTCTATCACAACTTATGCGGCTTGATCTTTGCTTTTGTTGTTGCTACGGTTTGAACTTTAGGCTTCAGGGGCTTAGGGCGTTGATCTAATGATGGTTTGAGATTTGGAAACTACTACCGGCTGAAGCTCTAAGCCCTGCAGCTTGCCAGGTACGTTCTTTACATCCTCATGGAGTGCACGGTGCTGAGAGCACGCTCACTCCTGCTTCTTCAGCTTATCCCCCTGCATCTGAAGCTCCGGCTTTAGGGAGGTTTCAATCGTTGTCCCCAAAGGGTTTCGGATTTAGAGTTTGTTGCATCCGGACTCAGCATGGCTAATGGAACACGGTCTCGGCCGCTCCTTCATCAGAGATCGCAAAAGTAACACGAGTGTGCGCTACATAGTTGTACTATTGTAGTCGGTCCACCCAGCGCGGTGTGTCCGACTCTTCTTGTACAGAGTGGCTATGCTAAGCCGTATAGATTTTCATACGACCAGTTGCTAATATTTACCCCGAAAAGACTTTTGCTTCTTCTGTACTGTAGGATCCTATATTGCTTTGCTTCCCGTGGCATCCTGTTCTTGAGCGGGCCCAACCGGCGTGTGGCATCCGTCGGGCACGGAGTGACTACGCAAGGAATGCCCCACTACCGTAGTCCATTGAATCAGAGGCCTCAGAAGGTAGGATGAAGGTAGGTGGGGCAATCTCAAATGAGAATCCTAATATAATGGATCCTGAATCCTGCCTACCGTCATCCGACCTTTTGAGGCCTCCAATTGAAGCCCGACTGATCGCCTTGGAGCCTTGCAGTGTGAAGAGTCAAGATGCCAAAGCTTCCTAGTCCACGCATGTTTGCTAAAGGCCCTTTCTGAATTTCTTGACCTTTGAAGTATATCATGCAGTCATGTGCCAGCCTTGGTCCGGAGCTAGGTGACTCACCTCCAGAAGAAAGTGTTCTACTTAGAGGATCATGGGACTTAGTAAGTAGGTTATAATTGGGGTTATAAGTCCCCTAAGTGGGGTTATCCTAATTATAACCTACTTATAGCCTTACTTACTAAGTCCCATGAGCCTTCAAGTAGTCTTGGGGAAGCACTCCAGGTCAGATTCCTTGACCCCAATCGACACACGCACACACATGCGCACAAACAAATAGATCATGGAAATGTAGCTCTTAGGGTTTCCATGGGGTTTAGTGTGAAGGGTTTGGGGCAAGTATCCCAACTATCATCCCTAGGAGGCCACCCCAAAAAATCGAACATCTTATCGGTGGAAGCTCCGAACAAGACTAAGCCCATAAAGCAGTACCAAGCAAGACGATGAATGCAAACCCGAGACCTGAACCGGAAACGACGACTTGCCCAAGGCCCCAAGTACATCACTCAATACCTCTTCGAGTCCGAGAAGACGGAGGACGATGGAAGATATGTCGACGAGGAGGCCTTCTCTCCTGAAATCCGAGTGATACAGGGGTTACTACAACGGTTTACGGTACCAAAATAATCGGTTACTGTCATGGTTCACGTATATTATGTAGTTGGTTGCTCACGATATAAGTGAGTGAAGCCATTGGGTTTCGGGATTTTGGAGTAACTCTCTGCCAGGTTACAGTTTTTTGTTTCTGGATTCGGTGGGGCTCACGAAATACCCGAAACCTAAAGCCCTTACAGTGCTTTATGGTGCAAGGCTATTGGATCCAGAGGTGCCTAGAGACCAAGCGCGCTCTCACTCTGACTCTTTATGTCATTACTGGGCTTTCAGCGGTTATTAAGCCAAGTATCTAAGTACCCCAGCATTTTCCCAAATACTTACTAACCTTCCATTACGACGATCCTAAACCGCGCAACCACATAATGTAGGAACCTGATTAAGAAACCCGGGGCGCATAACCCAAAAATCGTAGGGTTCATACAAGGAACCCTAATATCTTAATCTGGTTCCTACATTAGCCATCACAAACCATGGATCCGTAAGGCCTCCTCAACCTAGTTTTGCATTCGGAGGTTCTTGCTTAGCATTCTTTTTGCGAGTGCTATACGCGAGCCTCAACAGTAAGAAGCATGTGGGTTGAGGTTCAAGAACTCTGAAGCCACACACACACACACACACAAAAAAAATCCGTAAGCCCTACTAAACCCTCACCCCCTCAAACCAGGATGTAGAAGAAGACAACATCGACGACCGCCTGCGGATGATCGCCAGCTTCTGAGATTTGACGGACTCCAGTAGGGTGTAAGGTGGGTTTGGGGTTCAGGTTTTAGGGCTCAGGATTTAGGGCCGAAAGTTTAGGGTTTAGGGCTAGTGGTTGGGGTTTGAGGGTTTAGGGTTTTTGGTTTAGGGTTGGGGCTTTAAGGTTATTTCTGGATCGTGCCGGGGCTTAGCCCCTAAGCAGGCGTTCCCCCACGCAGCCGCAAACAGTCTAAAGTTCGAGTTACGATACAGAGAGCAGTTGGTAACCAAGAAAGCTTCGACAATCCAGCATCCAGGCAAAACCTATGGTGAGGGTTGATTGTAGTATCCTTAAGGGAGGGGGGTCCAAGGGGGGTATATAGCCTATTGATCCCTAATTCTCCCTAAGGTTCCCTTACAGTCCCCCAAGGATTCCTTACCATAAGTTGAGCTGGCAGCTGCTAGTAGCTCAACTCCAGAGTTCTGGGCTTAGGCCGAAGCCTCAAATCTAAGAAGAGAAGAGCTCCGAAGAAGCCGCTTGTTGTCGGTATACAAGTATAGAGCCATATGCATCCACCCCCTAATACTCTTTATCCAGGCCCTGAAATTTACCCGGATAGCCCCTTGCATTAAAAGCTAAAGCCGCACGAGCAGGAAGCATAGATGATCCTGAGTAGGCCCTTTAAGACGCTAACCCCCTGTAATCCCTAAACCCAAACCATAGACCCTAAAACCCCTAAATTTGAAGCCTTAGAGCCCTACAGCCCTAACCCCTAGAAGCCTAACTCCGAAACCCTATAAACCCTTCTGTCCGAAGACTTCGCCACGGCGAAGGCGAAGATGAAGGAACCGGAGCCGTACAGAGATGCGGACATCTGGTTCAGCGAGACGGAAGAGGAAGAGGCCAATGAGGGTTAAGGGGGCTTTAAGGTTTAGGGCTTTAGGGGTTTCGGGTATGTAGTGCTTGGGGCTTTTAGGGTTTAGGGCTTTGGGGGTTTAGGGCTGAGTTTAGGTTTCAGAATATTGGGAAGAGGAAGAGGTTACTGTGCCTTGAGGGTTAAGGGGTTTAGGGAGGTAGGATTTAGGGGTTTGGGGTCTCAAGAACATTGTGAAGAATCGTGCTATCAGGGTTATGGGGAGCTCTCTGCAGCTGTTCCAAAACGGTATGTCGGGATAAGGATCATGTGGGCTGGTGGAATTGCTCATGAACTCAGTCTCATGTTGCGATTTCTGCAGCTTCTTGCTTTTGCGAAGAGCCAACAGTATCTAGCAGACAACGAATGGTACCCTAAACCGAGCCTTCAAATTCCAAGCTCTTTGCTTTGCACCCATGCCTCTTTGCTGAACTTGCCCACATTTTCCAGGAGAGATGGTGCGATGGCTGCGGATCCACCCGCGTGGTAGTGATGAAGAAGCACACCGACGCACGGGACCCTGATGTCAAGGGTTCAGGGTTAGGGTTGTAGGGTCCCGGGTTCGCTAGCGAATAGAACTCAACCCTTGCGATTGCACCGTCAAAATTCTGGAGTTTCTCAAGCTGTATACCCTAAAATACCACAAGAAGGCTCAGGATTTCGGGGTTTTAGGGTTGGTTAATTCGATGATTGTGCGCAGGGATTTCGGCCTGAAGAATTCCGCAAGCGTTTTCGGCTGCAGTGCCGGGAACCTAGGACGCACGTTGTCCTAGCTTGATTTTGGGGGCCTTAATAACTACCTATGCTATTCTGGGGGTTCGTTTTTGCAATTTTGGATGTTACAGAGTAGAACCCCTTCAGGATCCCTTTAAAGGAGCCCCTCGTCTAATTATCAAGGTCCCTATCTAAAGCCAAGCCCAAGGCCCGTTTGATGTGGCCAAGGCTAAGTACAATGATACCGCAAAACCCTATTCAATTTATTAAGGTCCATATATAAAGCCACCCGGTTTATGTGGCCAAGGCTAAGTACATGAAGTACTGCAACGACTGCCCCTTTGTCTCGCCGGCGAAGGACGGAGTGCAGCTTCTTTCAGAGTTTGAACCTTTGCAGTCCGCTACCGATACAAGGGTTAGAATTGAAAAACATCTGCGACAACATCTAAACTATCTGCTACAACATCTAAACTACATATGCTATGTCCACAGCAGGTCCGGGGATTTCATCGTTTTGTCTCTCCCAGCGTTCTTACCAAGAGCCTGCTTGCCTACTCAGTCCAGTGGCCAACTCGGTTGTCACTGGACTTTCTCGGTGAGCCAGAACGTTGCAGGGCTGTACCGCTTGGGCATTGGACTCTGAACTTATGCCCACCGAGCGCCTGTGTCGCAGACCGCGTGTTCCAATCAGGAAGCGATGTGCTCACCTACTCAGTCCTGCAGCGCTGCCATCGTCGCATGACTTTCTCGGCGAGCCAGAAAGCAGCGCGGCCGTACCGCCTGGGCCGAGCTGCAAGCACGAGCCCATCGAGAGCCTACGCAAGAAGCGAACAGGGAGCTGCAGTCTGCAGAACCACCAACTTGAGTGTTCGTGAAGAAGAACTCGACGGCTTGCGTTGTGCGGGAGGAGCATCATGAGGCTATGAACTTTCGCTGGTTGTCTGTCTTTCACGCGCTGCTGCTTTGGAGCTTTTGAGATTTCGTTGCTTTGTGCTTGGCCACATGGATTCTTGCAGGGGGTTTCTGCAGGCAGCGAAGTGAGATGCAAGCTGTGGCCACCCATGGCGCATTGTTGGCATGTGCTTACCTGTTCAGTCCTATGGCAAACATGCAGCCACAGGACTCTCTTGACATAAGCTACAGAGTGGGCAGGTCGCAGCAGTTGGCTTCAGTCTTGCCCCTGGAGCTCGTGCTGTGGATTGCCACACCTGCCTGCGGGCTGTTTGTTACCACTGTGTTGCTTGCCTACTCAGTGCAGTGGCCAACTTGGTTGTCACTGGACTTTCTCGGTGAGCCAGAACGTTGCAGGGCCGTACCGCTTGGGCATTGGACTCTGAACTTACGCCCACCGAGCGCCTGTGTTGCAGACCGCGTGTTCCAATCAGGAAGCGATGTGCTCACCTACTCAGTCCTGCAGCGCTGCCATCGTCGCATGACTTTCTCGGCGAGCCAGAAAGCAGCGTGGCCGTACCGCCTGGGCCGAGCTGCAAGCACGAGCCCATCGAGAGCCTACGCAAGAAGCGAACAGGGAGCTGCAGTCTGCAGAACCACCAACTTGAGTGTTCGTGAAGAAGAACTCGACGGCTTGCGTTGTGCAGGAGGAGCATCATGAGGCTGTGAACTTTCGCTGGTTGTGTCTGTCTTTCACGCGCTGCTGCTTTGGAGCTTTTGAGATTTCGTTGCCTTGTGCTTGGCCACATTCTTGCAGGGGGTTTCTGCAGGCAGCGAAGTGAGATGCAAGCTGTGGCCACCCATGGCGCATTGTTGGCATGTGCTTACCTGTTCAGTCCTATGGCAAACATGCAGCCACAGGACTCTCATGACATAAGCTACAGAGTGGGCAGGTCGCAGCAGTTGGCTTCAGTCTTGCCCCTGGAGCTCGTGCTGTGGATTGCCACACCTGCCTGCGGGCTGTTTGTTACGACTGTGTTGCTTGCCTACTCAGTGCAGTGGCCAACTTGGTTGTCACTGGACTTTCTCGGTGAGCCAGAACGTTGCAGGGCCGTACCGCTTGGGCATTGGACTCTGAACTTACGCCCACCGAGCGCCTGTGTTGCAGACCGCGTGTTCCAATCAGGAAGCGATGTGCTCGCCTACTCAGTCCTGCAGCGCTGCCATCGTCGCATGACTTTCTCGGCGAGCCAGAAAGCAGCGCGGCCGTACCGCCTGGGCCGAGCTGCAAGCACCAGCCCATCGAGAGCCTGCGCAAAAAGCGAACAGGGAGTTGCAGTCTGCAGAACCACCAACTTGAGTGTTCGTGAAGAAGAACTCGACGGCTTGCGTTGTGCGGGAGGAGCATCATGAGGCTATGAACTTTCGCTGGTTGTCTGTCTTTCACGCGCTGCTGCTTTGGAGCTTTTGAGATTTCGTTGCCTTGTGCTTGGCCACATGGATTCTTGCAGGGGGTTTCTGCAGGCAGCGAAGTGAGATGCAAGCTGTGGCCACCCATGGCGCATTGTTGGCATGTGCTTACCTGTTCAGTCCTATGGCAAACATGCAGCCACAGGACTCTCATGACATAAGCTACAGAGTGGGCAGGTCGCAGCAGTTGGCTTCAGTCTTGCCCCTGGAGCTCGTGCTGTGGATTGCCACACTTGCCTGCGGGCTGTTTGTTACCACTGTGTTGCTTGCCTACTCAGTGCAGTGGCCAACTTGGTTGTCACTGGACTTTCTCGGTGAGCCAGAACGTTGCAGGGCTGTACCGCTTGGGCATTGGACTCTGAACTTATGCCCACCGAGCGCCTGTGCTGCAGTAATGAATGTTCTGCCAGCATGCGCATGTATACGCAGGGCTTTTCGTCCTGCGTTGGTGTGATTCCACGATTAATGTTTCCTTGCATAGGGCAACCCTTGGCAAAGCAAGCGTATTCCAGGGCATATTTCCAATACCTGAACCCCAGAGGCAAGGGTAGTCCACCCCAAGCCCAACTGCGCCTTCACTTGTTGAATTAGGCCAGTGGGCTGTGCAGGGTTTGCCATCGTTTGCCCATCGTTTGCCCATCGTTTGCCGTAAGTTTCCGAATCCCCAATTATACTATATAATCAATCATATACGGCCCCAAAATGTCTATGCTAGGTTACCGACAGACCTTGTCTGCCGGATTTTAGCACCTTTAAATGGAACTTCTTTTGTCATGGTTAGCATCCTGCATTTCGCACACGCACACACACACACACTTCTACATTCTATTTTTCTGTTTGTTTAGTATGTATGACTCTATAGGTTATATACATGTGATTACATGTGTATGTATATATATATATAGATGGTTATTATTTGCAATGTGTATGTATTTAGTACTTATGTTTCTGGTCAGTTAGCACCTCGTGATGGGAATTCCTTAACCCCCAAACCCTTAGCCGTAAATGTTAAATTATGGTAACTTAAATGAAATCCAGGGGAAAGAACCCAGTTGTAGAGCGCAGAAAATCGTCCAAGCCTGTCAGGAGGTGGGTCTTCCCACCGGCTTGTTGAAGCAGCGCGCACGGCCCTGAGATGGGCTTTAGGGTTTAGGGCTTCAGCGGTTAACGGTTTATAGGGCTTTGGGTTTATGATTAACTTCAGCGGTTTAGGGCTTGGGGTTTAGACGTCGGAAGGGTTAAGTTTCGTTTTTGGGTTAATTTACGTCCCTCGGGCCCTCAGATGAATTTCAGCTGGAATCTCCCGGGCTTTCAGCCGCCAACGAAACCCAAAGTACCCTGCTTAAACGGCCAAGGGACTTAGTAAGTAGGTTATAAGTAGGGTTATTTTTGGGGTAACTCCATTTAAGGTACTTATAACCCTGTTTATAACCTGCTTACTAAGTTTCCTGGGCCTCCAAGTATAAACGGCGTCAAGACTGAAGAGCTCGGCTAGGAAATGTGTACTCTAGCAGAGACAAACGCAAAATGTTTCCCCAAAGCTCGAACTTTAAACGGTTGCCTTCTGTGATGGGAACAACAACAGTTATCCAATGCATTTCGATGGCTTGCCAGAAGGGGGGGTTTGGGTTTCAGGGTCAGGGTTTCGAAGATTTGTGCAGGTCAGGAATTGGCCCGGAATCTCGTGTGGATGTATCAAAGTAGCCTCCGACTACGAAGCAGAAGGACTCTCGTGTAGAGGCGTGGGGGTTTAGGGTTTAGGGACCTGACGCGAAATCCCCACAGAAAAGGTAAGTACCTAAGCCTCCTATAAAGTTTCGTTTAGAACGCACCATATCCTCTCTCCTGGAACCCCTGTAGTAACACTGCGATGTATTCTTAATCAGCCTAATCTAGGCGCTATCCCAATTACCTATACTATTTTTGGCGGGGGTCCTTAATTGCTATATTTATAGTGTAATTGGCTCCAAAACCCTTGTCTATTGATTACGGCCCCGATATTTGCGCTGTTCATGATCGCAAGAACCCAGTGTCTTGTTGTCCGGAAGTTCCAGGACATCGATGAGAAGCGGGCGCGGAAGAAGAGGCTGAAGGCCGGACTTCGTACAGCTTTAATGGAGCCCTGATGGTCGTTACTAGTGGGTATTTGGGGTATAACGGTATAATAGAGGGTAGTTGGGGGGTCTAGGTTCATGGTTTTTTGGAATTTCAGGTTGTTTGGATGATGTCATACGGACTTTTCAGGGTTGCTTGGAGCAGGATGGTTCCTGAGGGGATTACCGGCTGTCGCAAGATTTGAAGTTGTTCGGGACTTGATGTTGTTGGGATGATGTATTGCATTGTTTCGGTCAGATTGTGAAGATGCTTTCCTCCGACGATCTTGGCTTTGCTTAGGTGTGAAGCTGTTGAGAATTGCGATTGGCTTTAGCATTCTGGAAGTTGCTGGGGCTAGGGTAGACGCTGCCTGGATTCTCAGGGCAGCATACTTTGTTTTCCGTTTCGCATTTTGGGTTTCAGAGTTGGCGTTTAGAGTTCAGCATACGGAACTCATAGCATGTAAGAAGCCTTATAAAATGTAGGGGTCCAGGGCCCAGGTAGGGATGCCATGTCTACCATGGCGCATCATGGGACTTCGTAAGCAGGCGAGCGTGGCAGCTTAGGGTTTAACGTGGCAACCCAATCCTTATAAGCACCCCTAAACCGCTATCCTTGAGCAACTCGAATCCTGACATGAAACAGCCGTTGCCCAAGTTAAACCATCCCAAACCCCAGCCACCAGCAGATTCTAGATCCTAATGCCACCAAAACCTCGACCCTACTCCCTCGACGCCCAGAATCCTAGACCCCAACACCTGCAAGTGATATGCGAAGCACAAAAGCCGTCGTCCCGAGGCGCGCAAGGAGGAGGCTAAGAAGCGTATGGAGGCCCGAGAACGTATCAGTGCTCTTCGCTCACCTCGGAAGCTCGTGTCAGTGCCAGACAATACTTGCGAGTTTAAAGTGCTGCTTGTATTTTCCAAACAGACAGAAAACTGGACGTTGAAGTGTACGTGCGCACAACCATATAGGATCATATTGAACTAGAATGCAGTCTTGTTCGGGTTATGTGCATTTGTGTACATGTGGCAGTGTGTGCACGTGTCTGCGAGTCTGTTTGTCTGCACTTGTTTGAGACCCCGTGAAGATGTGGGAAAGAAAGCACCTCTGCACTGCCCGTAATCTTAGTGTGCATGTGTTTTTTTGTTTGGCGGGAGGAGGGGGGGAGTTTGCTGGCCGTACAAGTCCCCAAGAGCTGAGCCCTAAACTCCAAACTCCGAACCCTAAGCCCCACTCTGAATCGGCCAAGGTGAACCCAAACTCTTTAAAACCTGGGACCCAGAGTGGGCCCTTATTCCCTGTTTTTACGGTTTAGGTTCCCTTATGACCCCCTTTAGATCAAAAAGGGCACCCTTTTTATTACTAGGTTACTCTTAGGTCCCCAAAGGGTCCAAAGTATCGATATAGTAGAATGTAGGGTTATATATTAGGAATTACTATTATGATTTGGGGAAGTATTCCCCATAACAGTACATAGGACCCTTTGGCTCATGGGACTTAGTAAGTAAGGATATAAGTAGGTTATAATTAGGATAACCCCACTTAGGGGACTTATAACCCCACTGATAACCTACTTACTAAGTCCCATGATCCTCTAAGCAGAAGGTGAACCCAGACTCTTTAAACCCAAACCCTGCAGAGACAGGCCCAGAAGGAAGCGAAAGAAGGGGCCCCAGACCGCAGCGAGGAGGCAGGGGGCTTCAGAAGGGCTTCCCTAGACGTTTAGGGTTTAGGGTTTAGGATTTAGGGTTTAGGGTTCAGAGTTTAGGGTTTTAGAGTTTAGGGTTTAGGGTTTAGATTTAGGGCTTAGGGTTTAGGGTTAGTTGTAAGTGGGGTTATAAGTATCCAAATATGGGTTCTAAGTACAGTTACCCTACTTATGACCCGACTTATAAGTAGCCATGAACCTCCGAGTAGACTTAGAGTTTAGGGTTTAGGGTCATGGGTCCTTCTGATAAGGATCTCGCCAAGGTAGGATTCTCATGAAGGGTCCCTGATTCTCGGGAAGAGGCCAATTCGGGTGAGAGAGGCTTCAGCGACAGAGTGTGTTGTAGGCATAGGCATGATGATGAAAGTAGACACCCCTCGCAATCCTAAACTTCCACCCGACAACCTGAAGCCATACCCAACCTACGATACACAACCGCAGCCCCCCACACGGCAAATCCGAAGCCCTGTAAACCTTAAACCCTAAACCTCAGTTTCTGCAGAGAAACTAAGCCATGGAACATCACCGCCACTTTCGGAAGGTTCCTGAAGACTACAAGCAGGAGGCAGGATGTTCTTTGCATGGTGCTTTAAAGGGATGTCGCGGGTTTCAGAGGTTTTTAAGGGCTTGGGTTGTTTAGTTTCAGGGTTTTAGTAAAGGTCTATAAGGTCTTGCTTAGGAGCTTTGAGCATAATGGGGGTTTCAGGACCTGAAGCGCATCAACCCACTGCAGACCCCAAAACCCCAACCCCCCCAGGAGCTTTCAGGATTTTTAGTTTCCTGGTCCGACAAGGTAATTAGGGTTTAGGGTTTAGGGTTCAGAGTTTAGGGTTTAGGGTTTAGGGGCATGACGAGTCAGTGCTCGCTTTAGTCTGGCTCAGCTGCAGACGCGACCTGCAAACCCGAATCGTCGATTTCGGAAGTGGCTTCCAAAGTTAGTTTTTGAGTCAGAAGTCACCCTGGGAGTGGTTTCTATCTCAAGCTTTCAGCCAATGACTCCCTGCCCTGAAACCAAAACACCGAAACCTCTGACTAAACCTCTGACTAAACCTCTGAAGCCCTAAGCCCTGAACCCCGAAACTCCGACCCCCAAACCCCCAAATTTCCAAGCCCCTAAAGGGAACTCCAGAAAGTTGGAATATGGATTAATGGTAGGATCCCCTATAATTTACCTTAAAGGGGTTACGATACTGGTATTCCAACTTTCTGGCTTCTACTATAAGCCCGAAAGTGAAGTTGAACGTGATCTTTCCTGCCAGCTCTAGGAGGCTTGGGTTAGGGACCCAAAAAGCACATGAGCATAAGCATTTTACCGGGATATCCCTACCTTATTGGGCTTCCTTTTAAGGGGATTTATATGGGATATCCCTACCCTAATTTTTGCTTATGTGCTTTTTGGGGGCTCTATTGCAGAGAGCGGAGACTCATACACACTCCCAATCCGGCCTTAACGGTGTGGGATTTAGGATTTCGGATTTCTGTACGGTTTAGGGCATCTAGGGACGAAAGGCCTTGGGCATTAAAGTTTAGGGCTCAGGGTTTGGGGGACAACCGCAGGAGAAGACGAAGATTTACACGCGGGAAGAGTTCCAGGAGGTGCTAACGAAGGCGGTGAACCTCTCCGTCTTAGGCTTTCTATCACGGTCTATAGAGTTTCAGTGGGGGTTGCACAAAGGTTTTATATTCAAGTTTCTTTCAGGGTTGTGTGAATGTAGGCTCTGTGGCTTCTTGTGGGTGCTATATTGGGCTTCCGTATGGGCTTCGGGGGGATCCTTTCGGATTTTGTAGTATCTGTTTGGGGCTTTTCTGATGGTTCCGTGGCTTCTGTAGTCGATTTGCAGGGGTTCTCTAAGCGTTCTTCTATAGCGCTCTGTAGCGACTGACAAAAATACTGCAGAACCGTAGGCACCGCAAGCTATGAGAATTTCTTTACACGCTATAGTATGCCCCTGATCCCTGATTCTTTGTCCTTCGACAGAAATAACTGTGCGTGCAGCGTGCATCATAAGAAGAGTGCTGGTCATTCTGTTGATGATATAAATCCTGCATTACCTGAATCTGAAGGACACTACAGTTAACACCATAAACTTGGAACCGGATAAAGGCCAAATAGTGCTGGGATTCCCCATACATTACTCTTAAGGATTGAGGCGATTGGGTTTCGAACTGTTAGGCTTCTACTGTAAACCATGGGAACTATGGCATATTCCTTATTATGCAGGATTTATATCATCAACCCTAAACCCTAAACCCTAAAGCCCCTAAAGATCCCTTAAAGGAGCCCCTTAAAGGTACCCTTATAGATCCTTATTATGCAGGATTTATATCATCAACCGTTCGAGGTAGGGTCCCGAACATCCTGAACATCCGAGCGCCGCATGTTTGAACTTGGGGCTGAACCTGCGGAGCCCTGAAACGCTTGAAGACCCTGCAAGCATCTGAAATTAGGGTTTAGGGTTTGGGGTTTTAGGGGTTTTAGGGGTTTAGGGTTTAGGGTTTAGGGTTTAGGGTTTGGGGTTTTAGGGTTTTAGGGTTTAGGGTTTAGGGTTAAGGGAGGGTGGTTCAAGGGGGGAGGGTATAAGGAATCCTTAGGGGACTGTAAGGGAACCTTAGGGTCCAAAGGACCCAATAATTGGGTACTTGGTTTTCGGATAGTAGTTGTGTAGGTTAGGATTTTGGAGAGTATATGATTATTAGGTACTTGGACCCTTGGGGTGAAAGGTCCTTGATGATACACCTTTGAAGCCATCCACTTTTAAAGCTGCGTGAAGATGCGCCCGGAAACCCTTAATCCCGAAACCCCTACACCCCTAAACTCTGACACCATGAAGGCTTTGAGGAAGGGAGAGATCAAGTGGGAAGACTACTGAGAGATGCTCCATTTGCTTCGCAGGTCTCGGCCTAAGTTGAGGGTTCTAAAGGCTTTTGAGTCCGAAAGAAGGTTTGGCGTTTAGGATAGGATCCAGGGAATTAGGGTTTAGGGCCTAAAGTTCATGGTCGAAGCAAGGAACACCAGGGCAAGTCGAGCTCACTTGGATTGAAAGCACCAAGATTCTATATATAGACAGAAGATTCGGGCATCTAGTGCTTGGAGCCATCGCGCACGAAAGCCAATTGAAAATCCGAAACGAGAGCTTCATTCGCCAGGGGCCCCGCTAGAGAAGCATGGGGAGTAAGATCCGTGCTGTAAGGATCACCCATAAGTTGTGCCGCCCCTATATGATCGCCCATAATGTAGGAACCTGATTAAGAAACCCTGGGCCTATAACACCAAAACACTAGGATTCATATAAGGAACCCGAATAAACGCCCAAGGTTTCTTAATCAGGTTCCTACATTATAGTACCCTTATAGATCCCTCATAGTAACCCTTATAGACCCCTTTAAAAGAACCTTAACAAAGGCCCCCATAATTTCTTACATTAACACTTGGAAATGTTTGGAGCTCGGCCTTCAGCAAGAAACGTGGTACCTTAGAAGCTGCCCCCACCCTGTAATAGTGGTATAATAGGGGTATATAGGGCCCTAATATAATCCTATATAATCCTTATGGTCACTATTACAGGGCGGGGGCAGCTTCTAAGTGGTACCCTTCGACAATTTGTAGGAGATTCCATGACTTGCAGCTTGTAGCCCTACAGGCATGCTCAATGTGCAATGACAGCACCGCTTGTGTCGAGTATGCGCAACTTTCCGGTAAGGCATCTTAGAACAACGTATTTACGAGGCGATTAGCACCGATTGTGTACAACTTTACGCCCGTATTGCCGGCAAGGCTTCCTAGAACGATGTATCTAGGAGGTGCTTCGAGCCTCTCCGAAATAGCCCATGTGCAATCCTTACAGAATCCGGAAACACTCACAGAACCCCACGAAGTCCGTTGGGTGGTTGGCAGGTTGTCGGGTTGCATTTGTTAGAGCGAAGAGGCCAGTCTGACCGGCGCGAGCAACAGTGGCAGCTCGTTGGCTGTCTCACCATTCAGCTATGTGTCAGCTGTAGGGTTGTCGGGTTTGGATGAGGGTCGAGAATATTGCCGCTTAGAGCCTTGTACACTGTTTGACCTTTGAACCCTCAACATGCAAATGAGAAGTCCGAAACCACTAGATCCGCAGAAGCTCAGGGGTGGCAGGGCTTGTCGCTCGAACCAAGCAGAAGACTTGCCTTTTCAAGGTTTCGATAGATCTCACCACCAGTGAGCTTCCGCACAAAAAAGGTGTGGTTTGCCGGTTGGTTCCTTCTCTGCACCCTAAAAGCTCCGAAGCCCTAAATGCCCTGAAGACACGAACGCCTTGAGCCCGGAAGCCCACAGACAGGAAGCCCAGCCTACAACGGCCCTTTGCTATAGCCCTCATCTTTCAGCGGCCTTCTACTAGACTATACCCCGAAACCCTAGGCCCTAGAATATATCACAAAAGCCGTATTCCGTTTGCTAAGGGCCCCTATCTTGTCTGAAACTTCCGGGCAGGGATCTCTGACACGTACGGGCTTTATTTGTTCGGGGATTTGCAAAGAAGATGAAGTTGAAGGGAGCCGGTTTTTGGAGTGGGGGTAGGCTTACCTTTGGTTAGTAGGGAATGGAGGAATGGGGTACAAATATAACTACCATTACTACCATTCTGCCATTCCCTACACCCTAAACCCTAAACCCATTCCCTACTAACCAAAGGTAAGGAGGGCGAGGCAGGAGGGGAAGGGCGCATTCTTCCCTGAAGCTTAGGATTCGGCTGGATGGGTTTTAGCCGGTTTCGAGCGCATTGTTTAGGGTAAGCCTTCTTGAAGCCATCTTGCTACAGGAATCGAGTCCGATACACATTATGTCAAGTACGATCTTTGTAGATGGTGTTGTGGACAGTTTCTGTTCGTGGGAAATGGAAGTCAGCTCTCTATTCGCCCCGAACTATTTTACAATACAATCAGAGTGTGAATGGGAAAGCCGAATCGCGAACCCGAAGCCCTCACTCTACTTGGAGGTTCAAGGGTAGCTATAAGTTATTTGTAGTATTTGTATATAGCTATACAATTATGACCCATACTAGGGGTCTTATAGCCCTGCTTATGACTACCCACGGACATCCAAGTAGAGCGCGTTCACTCGAGGACTCCACACAGCCCGGGCTTAAAGCAATGCCCTCAACATGCTATCGGTCTTTTTCATGGCTTAGGGTTTAGGGTTTTTGCTTTATTTCACATATGCCATGGCTACAGTATCTCCAGAAGATGCTCTCAAAAAAAGTGCCAAGAACGCTTATTCAACTTAATGTCAACCTCCTATTAATAAACCCCCCCCCCCCTTGATTGATTTGTCGCCCGGGGTAGGGGGGATTGATTATTGAGGGGGGTCGTCGTCGTAGTACAGTAGTACAGTATCACAATAATTAGTACAGTAGTACAATAGTACAGTATTATAGTACTACAATATAATGATAATAGCACAATAGTACAAAAGTACAGTATTGATACAATAGTACAGTAGTAGAGTAGTACAATACGAGTATTGTAGTAATATTTAGAGTAAGTAGTAATTAATACAGTAGTAGTTGCACGTTATCGCGGCCGAGCAGCTTGGGCTCTCGGCAATTATCGCCCTCTTGCACTCTCACGCAGCCGCTCCTCTCGTCTCTAGATACGTATCCAGTATTGTTTCTTATTTTTTTGTTTATTTGTAATTATGAATTAAACTACATCTCTCTTAGAACTTGTCTAATTACACTCAATCCCCCAAGGCAATGGCCTCCTTGACGACAACCTCTGTGCCGGCTCTCTCTGAGATTGCAGAGGAGGGGCCTCTGTAAAATAAGTAATAAATAAACTCTAATTTCGGAATCCCCTGCAGGCGGGCTCTCTGGCCCCGGCCGAGGATCTCTCGATGATGGGAGACGAGGAGGGTTCAGTGGGTTAAGGGGTGGTGCTCTGGTTTTGGGGGGTTTCTCTTGCCCTGCAGGGCGGCTCTCCAGCAGCGGAGCCCGGCTCTGTTGCCGGAGTTCCTCTCGCGGACGCGGACCAGGCAGCTCTGGGAGAGCTTTTGGACTCTAAGTAAATGGGCTTTAGTATAATAAATCTCGAGGGTTTAAAGGGTTTTTCCCTGCAGGCTCTGGCCGGCCCTGCTCTCGGCGGAGGTGGCGGAGGCTCTGGCCCGGGGAACCCTCTCCCGCATGGCTCTGGACCGCCGGGCCCACCGGCACCCGGCTCTCCTCTCGGGGATGCAACTTGTCTGGAATTCTCTTCATTCCTTAATTAGTTATAGGGTTTAGGGGTTTAGGATATTGCTTGTATTCTCTCAACCTCAGGGATGGGGCTCTGATCCGCCGGTGCTTGGCTACTACACCGGAGCCCGTGTGGTGGGCCTCTCTCTGCTGGTGGTGCGCCTAGACCGTAATTACACCTTAATTAATTAAACCCGATTAAACCCTAATTAATGGTATTGAAACCTAAACCCCAAACCCTAAACCCAAACTCTCAGGAATATCTCTTCGATCCTGGTCACGTACCATCGCTCTGCCGATAGTCTCGGCGCTCTCCGCCGCAGCGGAGGACACACGCGTCTGACTCTGAGAAGGCCCTCTTCTTTCTTTAAGTATTTTCTGGGGGGGTTCGCTTTGTTTCTTAATGGGGGTTGAGTTTATTTAGTGATTCAGTATAGAATTAAGGGACTGTAAATCAGGTGGTTGGACGCCGAGCTCTCGCGCATGCACTCTGAGCCGCACCACACGGCGAACTCTTGGCAGGCGGTTTGTGTCTTCTCTAGATTTCGCAGCTTCTTTTCGTTTTCGTTGTGAATTAACAAAGATAGTAATTACTAGGGTTTAGGGTTTATTTATTAATTAATTATTCATTAATTAATTAAGTTCTAATTACTAGTTCCCAAATCCTCTCAGGCATCATGGGAGCTTTGGGTGCAACTCTGGAGTGCATCTGGAAGCTCCTCCACGAACTCTCGGACGACTCTTAATTACAATGGAATTAACCCGAAACCCTTAATTAAACCCTAAACCCTAACCTTAGTTACTTACTAATCAAACCCTAAAGCCACTCCCAGGAGATGGCGCCAACTCCGGCGCACGTGAGCGAGATTCTCTCCTCTGTGAAATGGCTCTGGGAGGAGTTTCTCGACTTGAAATAATTAATTAATAAACCCCTAAGTAAGCCCTAAAACCCCACTTGAGCCCTGAACCCCTAAACTCTAAACCCTAAGTAACGAATACCCTGGAGGTCCGGGCTCTGCTCTCCAATCTCCGATGCACCGGAGTTTGGGGGTGTGCTTGGATTGTGGTTTGCGAACCAAAGCTCTATCGTCATTGACCGCTGCCGCTACCTTGCTGAGTTTCTTGGTTGTTTAATTAACGTATTTCTTTCCGTAATTAGTTATATCTCAATAATGTAATGACAATGGGTTGTTTTAATTCTTAATTGAACATGGTTCGCTTGCTATCGGCAGTTCAGCTGGCCTCTCATGCTTCGACGAGCCTCTCGGTTTAGTTAATAAAGGGTTCAGGGCTTAGTTAGGGGTTGTTAATTAAATAGTTAATTGAGGTTTGGGGGAAGATGGCTTATGTTTTGCTGCAGGTGTCCTTCCCTCTCTGGTTGGAACAACAAGCCCTCTCGGTGACCTGCTTCTCTGCCGACCGATGGGACCCTCTGCTGTGATCACCAACTTTTTTTTGCAACCTCTAGTTAAAGCCTGAAACCCTGAACCACAAACACCCACCCTAAACCCTAAACCCTAAATTAATTCTCATCCGAGGCCTAGAGGAACCTCTCAGGGGGAAGATCTCTTTGATGCTCGGTTGTTTTAATTAATTAATTAAGCCTTTCAAAAACCTTATGTAATTAAACAACACCCCTAAACCCTAAAGGCCCTAAAGCCTAAAACCGGAAAACCCACAACCCCTGATTAATTAAACCTTGAACCCTTAATTAAACCCTAAATAACTAAACTCTGAAACCTCTAACTTGAAACCCCAAACCCTGAAATAAGCCCTCTGAAACCCTAAACCCCAAACTCTAAACTTACCCAAACCCTCAAACCCTAAACCCCAAACTCTATCCGAGGCATAGGGGTGGAGCCTCTATGCCTTCATTCTGGCGACGCTCGGCTCTGGTTTTAGGGTTTCGGGGTTTAGGGGTCAAGGGGTTCCAGGGTTTGGGGCGGTTTTAGGGTTTCGGGGTTTAGGGTGAAGGGGTTCCAGGGTTTGGGGTTCGTTGGGGGTATTCCTTAATTAAACCCTATGTACCTACTTAATTAAGGCTTAACTAAACCCTTCTTAAGTAATTAAACCAAAAACTTCAACACCCTAATTAACCCCAAACCTTAAACCGTGGCCCTACACACAAACTAGGCCGTACACCTTAATTCAACCCTAAACTCCCCAAACCCTCTTAATTAATTCATGCTCCGAGGAGCTCTTTGCTTTGGCTCTCGAGCAGCACTCTACGCTGCTCGACGATACTAATCATTATTATATTATATTATATTATATTATATTATATTAATTATATTATATTATATTATTTATTTATTTATATATATATATATATATATATATATATCATGATTTCATGTATACTACTTAATTATACACATATGTTATATATGTATATGTATTATATATATATATATATATATATATGTATATGTATGTATATATATATATATATATTATGTATATGTATATGTATATGTATATGTATATGTATATGTATTTACATATATGTATATATATATATATGTGTGTACATATTCATATATATATATATACATATCTATCTATCTATCTATATATATATATATAATGTTATACATATGCCCATCCCAGGCTTTGATGAGCCGGGCTCTTCAAGATCGAGAGCTCGCAGAAGCCGGCTTTTTTTAAAGTAACCCTAATTAAACCCTAAACGCTAAACCCTAAACCCTTACCTTAACTTCGAGCCTAAACCCTAGACTCTAAAACCTTAACACCTGAACTCTCAGGCAACCCAAAACCCTACTAAACCCCCGAAACCCTAAACCCTAACCCTTAAACCCTAAACCCTTACAGGCCTTAATTACCTTTACCTTCGAGCCTAAACCCTAGACTCTAGAACCCTAAAACCTCAACTCTCCAAAAAAGCCCGCTCTCTGCTGGAGCATCTCTCTGGAACTGTTCAGCCGACTCTCAGCTTGGCTCTGCAAAAGAACTCACTCTTTTGTGCTTTGGGGTTTAGGGTTTATGTACGGTTTAATTAGTTTAGTTTCTAGCGCAAACACACACAAACACGCATGCTCTCTCTCTCTCGCTGTCTATGTTTCTCTCTCTCTCTCTCTCTCTCTCTCTCTCTCTCTTTGTTTTTAAAGTTGTGTTTTGCGGAGAACAGTCAGCCCGGGAGCTCTTTTGCTCTCAGCAACTTGGCCTCTTGCTTGGAAACATGGAGACTGTCTCTCCCACCGTCTCTGTGAACCAGTGCCTCCGTTCGCATTTCGCTTTGGCTCTTGTGTCTCTTTCAATAATCTTTTCTTTTTATTGCCGGACTCAGGTACGTTTCTCTTCTCTGCATCAGCAGATGCTTCTTGGAGCACGAGGAAGACGTCGCCTCTCTGATTGGAGAACTCTTGGGCCTGCCTCTGCATGATTGCTCTTGGTGCCTTGAGGACGGCATGAGGTTCTCTCCGGAGGTCTCTTGTTTCAGCTCTGAGAGGTGGACTCTTCAGGGATGGCTGATCCGACGCAGAGATCTCTCTGTTGGAGACCTTCTCTTCTTGGAGGGCCGTCGCTCTTGGCGGGTGCTGACCCAGGAGGATCTCGATGATCTGGGGAACTCTCTGCCTGGCAGTCAAACACACTCTGAAGCTTCTGAGCATGATGAGCACCACTCTGATCATGATGATTGGGAGATGTTAGTTCCTCTCCCTGCCTCGCCCGAAGCGGCCTGAACTGAACTCTCTCTCGCTTTCAGCAGAAACAGCCGGCTGCTCGCAGGGTCTCTGTCGCATGTTTGTTGAGCGGCCACTCTGAACAAGTCTTTTGAATAGCCAAGAACTTCTCTTGTGCATTCGCCGCAAGACTCTTTTGAGCAGCCACGCTGAAGAAGGCAGAACTGAAGCAGTGTTCTCTTTTCAACCTTAGCAGAAGCTCGTATCAGCCCCGCTCTGACCGTGTAAGTCCTTTAGAAAGGCATCGCCTCTCCATTGCAATGGCAATGGAGATCTCTTCGGAGGAGGAAGCGGCACCGGATGCCGTCGGCTCTTCCCTCGGTCTTGCAGGAGCTGTCGTTGCCTCTGAGTCCAGCTCTTCCAGCAGACAAGGCACGTTTGGTAAAGTGTCAGCAATGAACAATGATCCTGCTCTCCTTTCCCTGCTCCTTTGAAAGCCGAAGCTTTCGCAAGCAAGGACATGAAGGCATAGTTTCTGAGGCCCTTTAAATCTGCTGTTTCGGAGTCCCGTGGCTTTGGAAGCTAAAGCTTTCCCAATGCAGGGCTTGGCTTCTAAAGCTTGCTTTCCTTTTGAATCCAAGGCTTTCCCAATGCAGGGCTTGGCTTCTAAAGCTTGCTTTCCTTTTAAAGACACCACCAGAACGGCCCTCCCCGGCGGGAGTTTATAATTGAGGGGGGTTTATAATTCTGCAGAACGGCTTTTGTTAGTACTCCATCAGGACGGATTGATTTTTGGCTCCGGGAATAAGGAATTTTATTAAGGAAGGCATGGTTTCTGGAGCCCTCTATATCTGCGGTTTCGGAGTCCCGCGGCTTTGGAAGCTAAAGCTTTCCCAATGCAGGGCTTGTCTTCTAAAGCTTGCTTTCCTTTTGAATCCAAGGCTTTCCCAATGCAGGGCTCGGCTTCTAAAGCTTGCTGTCCTTTTAAAGGCACCACCAGAACGGCCCTCCCCGGCGGGAGTTTATAATTGAGGGGGGTTTATAATTCTGCAGAACGGCTTTTGTTAGTACTCCATCAGGATGGATTGATTTTTGGCTCCGGGAATAAGGAATTTTATTAAGGAAGGCATGGTTTCTGGAGCCCTCTATATCTGCGGTTTCGGAGTCCCGTGGCTTTGGAAGCTAAAGCTTTCCCAATGCAGGGCTTGTCTTCTAAAGCTTGCTTTCCTTTTGAATCCAAGGCTTTCCCAATGCAGGGCTCGGCTTCTAAAGCTTGCTGTCCTTTTAAAGGCACCACCAGAACGGCACTCCCCGGCGGGAGTTTATAATTGAGGGGGGTTTATAATTCTGCAGAACGGCTTTTGTTAGTACTCCATCAGGATGGATTGATTTTTGGCTCCGGGAATAAGGAATTGTATTAAGGAAGGCATGGTTTCTGGAGCCCTCTATATCTGCGGTTTCGGAGTCCCGTGGCTTTGGAAGCTAAAGCTTTCCCAACGAAGGGCTTCGCTCAGTATATAGGCATACGAGGCTTCGCTCTTGCTTGCAAAGCTTGCTTTCCTCTGACTCATTCGGCATGTCATTGAATCAATGCTTTCTTTCCCTCGTCAGGCCTGCAAGCTTCTCTTCGGCGGTTCTTCCAGCCCTCTCACCCAGAAGCTCAGAAGCCAGTGCGGTTCCTTCCCGGCAAGCAGGGCGGTCGGCCCCTCTCTCGCGAGATGAAGCAGATCATCGCTCAAGTAGCTGAAAAGCAAGCTCTCGAACAGAAAGCTCTCGACGAAGCTTTGATAGCTCGAGAGAGCGAAGTGCAAAGCAAGAAGCGGTACTACGGAGGCCGCCCCAAAGGCAGGAGCTCTGGGAGAAGCGATCTCCCAGTTGCCGTGCGGGCAGCTCTCGTGCAGGAGATGGAACTCGCTGTTGCAGGCGACCGCTTCTCTGACGAAACGGAGTTCTTCAGTTACTTCGCCAAGAAGTTCGCTCTGCCGAAGAAGCGAGTCAAGACTCTGTGGCTGCAGCGGAGCTTGGTCAAGAAGACCTCTCAAAAGAACAAACTCTCACGCAAACCCCACCGCTACACTGGTGCCAAGGGCACCAAGAGGTCGCATCTCAAGCGTGCGTACAGAGGCTTTCGTCTGCCAGGAGCGGGTCGGAAGCACTCTTTCCCCGACTTGGTGGACAAGGCTCGTGAGTGGTTCAACGAGATGCGCTCTTACGGGAACCAGGTGCTTCGAGTGGACCTCTACAACTACTACATCCACCTCATGGAGATGGACAAGATACGGGTGCAGGCGGATCTCTCTGATCCGAAGCTGCTGCAGCCAAAGCGGACGCCTCTGCAGGTGAGGCTCTCGGAGCTGGACAAGCAGCTGGCCTCTCAGAAGAAGAGCGACAAAGCCAAAGAGTCTCTGAAAGGTCGTCTCGAGAAGTGGTGCTCTGCAAGGAACTTGAGGCCTCACCTCGTCACCAAGCTCACGCCTCTCCAAGAGCAGTCGAGATGCCACTTGACGTGGCAATCTTTCGACAGGGCTCTCTGGCTTGCTGCCTGCTCTGACGAGGAGACTCTGGGGAAGCACGTCTCTAAGCCAAAGCAGTTCTTGGAACACAGAGCCTCTCTCGCGATCCTTTTCGCCGATCAAATTCCGCTCTGGATAAAGGCGGGTGCCGAGAGGTCTCTCTTCGCCGAGTGGGAGCGAAAACCCACCTCTCAGGCGGCTCTCCGGCAGGACTTGGCTGCTCTGCACGACAAGCAACTCTCTGGGCAGGCGGACGTGGACTCTGGTCTGGTTGTGCAGCACCCAGACTCTTCCGGAGATGCTCAGGGTCAGAGGCAACTCCGCTCACGCCAGGACCTCTCTGCAATGTTTTACTTGGGTCGTTTCTGTTATAATTCATAACCTTATTCCTGCCGGCAGGAGCCTCTCGCGGACCGCTTCCGCCTCACTTACGAAGCCCGGCAGGTCTTGTTGAACTACAACTCTCCGGGAACGCCGCCGACTGGCCTCTGTTACAAAGGTCTCATCATCATCAGCGGGCCTCATGCCAGACTCTCGAACATCTCTCAAGACGGCAAGTGGCTCTGCGATGAGACCTTTGAGTGGAGAGGGAACCTTGTCTCTCACAAGAAGGGCACCTCTGTTGGCAGGCTCATGGAGCCATGGAGAGCTCTGCGAGCCCAGAAGCCGCACCTCTTTGAGCACGTCTCTGTGATGATGCAACCGAGCTCTAATGCCGACAGCATCATACTCTCCTGGGTGGCCCAGGAACTCTCAGAGGCGTTTCCAGCTCTGCTGGTGCAGAGGGACTGCCTGGGAGCCTCTTTCACAGAGTCTGTCTCTGGTGCCCACTTCTTGGGGAACACGATCCAGACTCTGGTCGCTCCGAAGATGACGGCCTCTCTCCAGTTGACGGACACAGCCTCTCGCATGCACTGGTCTTTCTGTTTTTGTTTCGAGCTCTCAACTCCCAAACCCATTCTGAGGACTTCTCTCGCAGATTCAAGTCTCTGTGCCGCACCTCTATGGCGGAGAGGAGGTCTCTGGGCCAGAAGGCTCTGACAGAGAGCGGCAAATCCTCTGTCTGGGCTGCCTCTGTGGAGGACATCTGCGAGACCATCGTCTCTGCCCAGAAAGCCTGTGCCGAGGATGCCTCTGACTGGGTGCTCTCAGGGCTTCGGCGGAATGGCATGCTGGCCTACCGCCCTCTCGACGGCAAGCTCCAGCCGGCGGAGCTCTCCACGCCCTCTTTCAAGGACCTGCCGCAGGGCTCTGCAAGACTGCGAAGCGAATGGCTGGAACCACGCTTTGGCTGGGTGCAGGATGGAATCCCCTCTGAACCAGACTGGTCTCTGATTCCTGGCACGGCCGCTGCCCAGGAGCTCTTGGACTGGGACGTCGCTCACGGCGACAAGAACTCTGCATCTCTTCTCAAATCAGCATAGCTGTATGTTCTTGAATTAATTAGTCAAGTAATTTTGTCAAACGTCCCCTAACCCGATTTTCGAAGCTCTGAACAAGATTCACCATCCAGGAGGAGGACTACTTCTGTGACATGGACTCTCTGCCACCAACTCTTCGGTGGAACTGCTTCGAGAGCGGCGTTCTCAAGCTCCCGCCAGCTCTCTTGCAGAAAGCCTGGAAGAGGGAAGCTTCTCTCGCGGTGGAGGAGAAAGCGAGAATCCTCGCAAAGAAAGCTGAGAGACAGCTCGTCTCTCAAGCCAAGCGGTCTGTCTCTGAGAAGTTCAAAGAGGCGATGCGGCTCAAGCTGAAGGACATCTCTCGCCAGCAAGCTCTCGCTCTCCACGTCCCTGAAGCAGGGAAGGCGAAAGCCAAAGCGAAGCCTGCCTCTGGGAAGGCCGGCTCTCTGACGAAGGCTCTGAAGAAGGGACTCAAGAAGAGCTCTCTAAAGACAGCTGCCGCTCTGTTGGCGGGCTCTCAGAAGAAGGTCCAGGAGCTGATCTCTGCACCAGAGCCTCCGAAGACTCTGCAAGGCCCTCTCTTCGGCAAGCAGGTCCGCATCGTGGCGGAGCTCTCGCCCTCTCACCTTGTGGGCCAGGAGGGCAAGGTCTCTTCGCACCTCTCTCAGAAGCTGACTCTGCCGAGCTTTGGTCTGGCCTGTGCAACTCTGAACCTCTCGGAGAAGGATGTGATGCCTCTCTCCGAGAGCTGGACAAAGTCTCTGGAGTGGCAGCCTCTGCGGCTCTCCAGACTCTTCAAGAAGGAGGTGCTCTTGAACTGTGGTCTCTGGTGCGAAGACGACTCTTTCGTGCCGGAGCCCGTGGAGGTTACTCTTGCCAAGAAGCCGAAGATGCTCTTGGACCAGCAAATGAATGCTGCCTGGGCTCTCGTCCGCCACCACTTCGAGCAGAAAGGACCCTGCTCGTCTGTTTTGTAAGGACTCTGTCGTTGCATTTAGGACTCGTACTTAATGACTGTTTCTGACAGGAGAGAGCCTCTCGGACGTGTTCTTCGTGGACGCCTTCCTCTCCAGCTTTCTCTTGCAACACGAGAAAAAGGAGTACCTGATCGCTCACCTACAGACGCAATGGCAGGAGCACAACCTCCTCTTCATTCCGATCTACACACGGAAGCCAGACCACTGGACGCTGCTCGTCCTCCAGAAGGGCTCTGAGGGCGAACCGCCCAAAGCTCTCCTCGCCGACTCTCTGAAGAAAGACAAAGCTCCGACAGCATGTGCAAATGAGCTGAAGGGTCTCTTAGCCGACGTGGACAAGTCGCCTCTCACCGACTACCCGACGGTGACCCAGACCTCTGACGACTGCGGCTTCTTCTGTCTCGCCGTGATGGTGGAGTACCTCTCCCTCCGCCGTGGCGAAGGGCCCAAGCAGAGGGGCTCTCAGCACTCTCTAGTGGCGGATCTGAAGACCAAACTGTCGACCTTCACCTCTCAGCTGAAGGCCGAAGTCAAAAAGCTCTCGGACGAGAAGGAGGAATATCTCATGGACCAGGCCGTTCAACTCAAGAAGGCCTCTGACAAGGCGAAACTCTTGGCGAAAAAGGCCGAGGCGGAAAAGGGCGAACTCTCGGCTTTGCAGAAGGCTGCTCTCAAGGTCCTGAAGGAAGGTGCTCCACCGGATGTCTCTGATTTGGGCAAAGAAGCCCTCGTGGACATCGAGCGGATCAAGACTCTCGGAGATCCAGGGGTGTGCTCTCGCTGTCACTGGCAGAGCGGCTGTGCCTCTTGCGATGTCTTTAAGTGCACTCGCTTCCACGTGCGAGAGCTCTGCCGCACTCTGGGCAAGAAGCCCCCAGCTTGGGCTCTCTGATCGCGAAATTTCTCTGCGCAAGATTGAAAATCGCAGCTGAAGCTCTGCAGTTTCTCTCTCTCTGCAGACCTCAAACCATCGCAGTAGCTGCATTTTCTCTCTCTCTCTGCAGACCTCAAGCCCTCGCAGTAGCTGCATTTTCTCTCTCTCTGCAGACCTCAAGCTCTCGCAGTAGCTGCAGTTTCTCTCTCTCTGCAGACCTCAAGCCATCGCAGTAGCTGCAGTTTCTCTCTCTCTGCAGTCCTCAAGCTCTCGCAGTAGCTGCAGTTTCTCTCTCTCTGCAGACCTCAAGCCATCGCAGTAGCTGCAGTTTCTCTCTCTCTGCAGTCCTCAAGCTCTCGCAGTAGCTGCATTTTCTCTCTCTCTGCAGACCCCAAGCCATCGCAGCAGCTGCAGTTTCTCTCTCTCTGCAGTCCTCAAGCTCTCGCAGTAGCTGCAGTTTCTCTCCTTTTCTCTCTCTCACACAACAACACACAACAAGAAGTATCTAATTTCGGGGATTTTGGGCCGGAAGGTTTTGTAATTGAGGGGGGGTTTATAATTGAGTTCCGGGGGTGGGGTTTTGTAATTGAGGGGGGATTTATAAAAAGTAGGTTAACATTATCCGAAGCCCCTCAAATCTCAAGAGAATGCCCGCTGTGAAACCCTATACAGTAGAAGCCGGAAAGTTGCAATATCATTATCATAATCCCTTTAAGGTAAATTATAGGGGATCCTGCCATTATTCCATATTCCAACTTTCTGGAGTTCCCTTTAATCACAAGCCAACTTCTGACCCCCTGCGCAGCGCTTGGCGCTGGAGAACTTCTCCATCCTCACTCCGGTGCCTCCGGCCCGGGGCTAAGAGATTCCTCCGCTGTCAGAGTTTAGGGCTCGCTGGGTGTCGGGTTTAGGGTTTCATTGGTGTTGAGTGTTTAGGGGTTTATATCTTTTAGTGCTTGGAGTTCAGAATTGTTGTAGCTGTCGCGTTCAGCCTTCAGCTTTAGCTTGTGGGTGTTAGGGTTTAAGTTATATAGGGTTTAAGTTTGGGTTTAGTTTCCAGAGCTGTAGAGAGCTCATTGTAGGAGCGAGGTTCTCAATAAACCCTAAGCCCTAAAACCCAACACCCCGAATTTCCGGGCTTCTAGGGGTTTACGGTCTTTGCGGGTGTCGGGTTTCAGGTTCCTGCTTTAGGGAAGTGGGCATTCTGCAGTTCTTCTATGGAATTTAGGGTCTATAGGGCTCACGGCTTAGCGGACCTGGAAGTTGAGCCTGAGTCTGCCCTTGCAGCTTTATGATTTGTTTAGGGTCTAGGGGTGTAGGGTTTAGGGTTTTCGTATAAGCCCCAAAGCTGTTTGGGGCTGGAGTTTCGAAGTTGCCAAAGCCACATTGAGTCTGCCCGTAAGCTGTGAACGTGGATCTGGACAAGCAAGATCATGGTGAGGCTCAGTGCAAGCGTAAAGAAACAGTTGCGTCATACTCTCAGCAAAGGGAGCACGCCTGCCACATCCCTGGTAAAGCTTCTCTAATTTAATTTCGATGCTTGACTGAACAGTTACCAAATATCCTATCACATACCCCCAATGCCCTATTCTTGTTGTTACGGCCCCTTATTTTTTGTCTTATCATAGATTCCTGTATAGTCCCCTGTAAGGTAAGGTTCTCTTAAGAGGAACCCTATTCTAACTCTTACCTGGACCCCAAAAGCATATAAACTAATAGCCTCTTACAGGGGTTGGACCAATATTTTCCCCACTTTGGAGGGTTTAGGTAAGGCACCCTAAACCCCCTAAACCTTTTTCCCGATTTCATACCAGCCGCACGATGCTTCGCAGGCGGCTGATGCTGCAGCGAAGCCGGCTGGGGAGGCGCATTCGTACTTAAAGGATCATGGGAGTTAGTAATTGCGGTACCGTTGTTATGATATAAGGTAGCTATACTTATAACCCGCAAAAAAGGTACTTATAACCATACTTACTAGGTCCCATGATCCTCCAGGTACGGTTTTAGGCTTTAGAGTTTTGGGTTTGCTGGTTGGGTTTAGGGTTTCTTGCGTGCTTAGGCTACAAGCATTAGGGTCCAGGGAAAGGTCCTGCACAGCCTAGCTCTTCAGGGTTGAGGAATGAGGCTCTAGGCCCATCTAGGCCCGCCCTTGCAAGAGGCTGGGTGCTGAGGCTTAGAGCTATGCAGAGATCGTGGCTTTCCGGACGAAGCTGTTGGCAGGAGCCAATATTGAAACCCTAAAACCCCGAAAAACCCTGAACCCGTAGAGTCACATTGATGAGCTCAGGGCTTGCGTGTTTAAGATTGGATCTTTGGGGCTGTCCACTGGCTGATTTCTCAGGGAGTGCCAGGGAGTGTGCGGGAACCAGGAGTGTTTTAATGAGTCCCAAGAGCTCATCAGTCGATGTCGCACAAGAGCACCTTCGATATACAGTTACCAGCATCCATCGGAAGGAAGTTCCGGATAAACACCAACAAGTAGCTCACACTCACCACCGCCATCACCATCATCATCATCCTCATCATCATAATTTTCAGCATCATCATCACCATCATCCTCGTCGTCGCCATCGCCACGGCCACCGCCGCCGCCCCACCACCACCAAGATCCAGAATCTAGACGAAGTCGGGGTCCCCAAGACCCTGTTTGTGAACTTCAGGATAAACAAGACATCCGTAGAAAATGCTATGGAGTCCGGTACAAACAATGTGAGACTGTATGGAACTCTTGTGAAACGCCCATAAAGGGTTTAGGGGTTTATGGTTTAGGGGTTTAGGGTTTAGGAGTTTAAGGTTTAGGGTTTATAAAAACGCACGCTTCGCCCGGAGGAAGCTGAGGAGGTGAAAGAGACTTACGCCTCCCCGGCACCGGTTTGCTTGGGGATGTATTTGAGGGTTTCTAACTACAGTCTACAAGTTGTGCAGGGTTTATTGTTTGTAGGGCTGATAGGGGGTTCAGCATTTAAGGTGTAGGTTTCAGAGTCTCGGTATCTAAACTGCGAGAGCGGTATCTCTTCCTGCGAACATTTTAAAAGCCTCAAACACATACATGTTAAGGGCTGCTTGATGTGATTTCCCTTTCTCTCTTCATGGCAGGGTCTCTGGGACGAAGGCGCACACTAAATTAAGGCCAACCACTTCCGCATTGTCTGCCTTGGCTCCGATGAAGTTCAGGGCTTAGGGTAGGGGTGGGTGGTCGAACGTGGGAGTACGAGTCCATGTCCATGAGGCATGAGCTGCTCCCCCTTTCATTTTCAACACATTCGAAGCGGTTCTCTAATGCCCTCGACTATAGACTAGAGGTTTTCCTCGACCCGAAACTACCAGTGTGAAATCAGAAGCAGAGATTGGAAAAAGTACGAAGTGCTAACAGTATACCCCCTTGGATATGATAACCCCGCAGATTTGTGTCCTGTTATATACACCAAACCGGATTCTGACTATTCAGGCCATAAATTTGTCTAAAGATCACACTGTACAGAGCGTTGTTCGGATTCGCCTCCCAAAGCTCTGCTTCCCGCAAGCAGATTACGAGGAACCCGGGATGCCGCAAGTTTGCCATAAGCAGGGGGTTTAGGGTGCATATGGCAGTATACAGATATGGGGGATATGATATCCACAAGGGTATACTTTTAGTATTTATTAAGACCTCTGTTTCTAATTTCAAGCAGGACAAGCTCAATGACTTACTTGCCTAGGGTTTAGGGCTTAGGACTTGTTTTGTTTAAGGCCTCGGGTCTGAGGTTTTGGGTTCCTTGTGGGGCTTGGGGTTGTTAAATGGTGTGGCCCCAAGATACAGCGTACTTCCCCAGTCCTAAGCACAGGGCCCAGGCAATACGGCTATTGACGCAACCTAGGGCAGGTCCACTTACTAATAGCATTGAGGTCGGAAGAAGCATATGGTAATGGTATCCCTTTTTTTGAGTCCCTATCTCTTGGCACGGATCCCGACCTTAGTGCAACGAACAATTCCCAGTCAGGCAGTTCTGGAGCATCTGAGATCATTAAGCTTGAGCCGTATCCCTAGACCCTCCATCTACCCTCTACCACTCAGCAATAGTTGAATAATGTTCATAATACAGATATAGTAGGACCTTAATAGTAGCCCTATTATAGACTCTTACTGTATGGGGGCCGTACCCAACATATGCCCCTTTTTGAGGGTAGAAGGAGGGCCCTAGTCCTCCGAAAAGACCTGCCAGACACACGACACGCGCTGGATCATCGAAGCTCAGACGGAGTTGCGGCTGCTGGCGCAGGGCTCACGGGGTCGGGTGAGGGAGTCGATGCGGTATTTGTCGGAGTTTTAGGATTCCTTCCCCTGGACGGTGCTTGTCCTCGGTGTTTTGGGGAAGCTTCGCTGACTGCCCGGCTTGTTGTCCAACTCATTTCCAAACTTACGGCAGTTCTAAAGGTTGCCCCCAAACCCCATTTCTGATAATTCGGCCCGAATGTTAGGACATTTGGCTTACTTGTGTAGAGTTTTAGTGACCCGAAGGTTCCGTCTCAAGCTCTAAACTCTGAACTGTCCCCCAGACTTTTGCTTGCTTGGAGGTTCATGGGTAGTTATAAGCGGGGGCTATAAGTCCCAGAATATGGGTTATACGGGTTATACGTATAGTTACCCTACTTATAACCCCACTTATAACTGGCGATGAACCTCCAAGTAGGTTCTCTGCGTTCAGCCAGGGTTGGGCAAATGCCAGCAAGATCTGTAGGTGCTGGAGATGCTTCAAGCGAAGTTATTGCTCTTGTCTCGTCATGCAAGAGCTTCGTGAACCACCGAACATAATTTCAGTCTAGGTTTCAGGGTTCTGTCAACTGCATCGCCATGATTCACCTGAAGGACCAAATGACCCTTAAAAGTAGGGGCCCTATACCCATATACTATGAATCCCTATATGGTATATGAACCTTAAACCCTTTTAGGGCTCATTTCGTCCTTAAGGCATGGTTGAGCTTGGAGAATTAAACCCGTAGGATCCTCTTGCGCTGTCCTAAAGCAGTTGTCAGCTTCT